GAAAATGGATGGATGGATGAAGTACAGTGACAAGAAAAAGAACTTGGAAGCAAACATCAATTACTAACAAGCACATTTGGATTTTTTACAACTACAGTGTAAGCAGGTGTAAACTAACCAAACATAGTGCATCATTTACTGTTGAAATGAAGGTTAAAAACAAAGAAGGCATACAATGAGTTTAAATAGTTTTAATGACCAACAAAGAAAGAAAAAACCTCCACTACTGCCGAGCAATACTCTGTGATTGCAGTGTTAGATGCAGCAGTGTATGAAACAGAAGCCATGACCTTTTCCGTCATTAGAAGCTGGACATGCTCCACGTTTTTGCGAGTTAGATTAGACTTCACCAGCAGCACTGGCGTAAGTAATGTTACACTTAGACATTTTTTCTGAGGGTACAAATCGAACGTCATCACATATCCTAAAATCCACACTGTCGAGAGTGTGGGCAAGTGGGAGTGTGTGAGCTGTGACGGGAACATGACGTTAAAGCGGTGAAGGTGTGCAAAGCCACCCATGAGCCTTGAGAGACGACGTCAGTGTCCTTCCCGCCATGTAAGTGCTGCATACCAAACCTGTGTCGCACAAATCCAGCTGGCAGTCACTGACAACCTTCAGTGTTACATGGGAAGTTTTCCAAGTCTAAACAAACAGCTTCGTCCATGACCCAGTCAGGGTGAATCCCACAGCCAGTTAAATAACCACAGTCTGCAGGACGACCACAGCCCTTCTGTCATGCACACACTGAATGATGGAAATCACAGTTGGTGTCGCTCTGTTTGTTTCTGCGTCAGTTTACGTAGGATGTCTCATTTCCCCAGTAGGAGAGAAACGCAGCAGCAGGTCTTACTGAGCATCCGTGCAAATTATCCTCCGTTATATAACTTCAGCCAACGCTGATATAGACTAACTACTTGTAGATAAGTCCAAATGTATTGATTTCTTCTTCTTTAAACCGTCTTCATGTATCCACCAGACATTTGAATAATCTTTATGAAGCAGAAACATTATGAAAGAACATTATTGCTTATATTACATAAGTGTAGGTGTTTACCAGTGGTGTTTTCAAAGTTTTCCATGTGTCCTTTTGTTCAGCCTTTTGTTTGGGAACCTGATATCTCTTGAAGTAGACACCAGATTCTGTGTGGTTTCTGATTTGTGGCAGGTGTTTGACTTTACTCACAGTGAACTGACTGGTGATTTGTGAGAAATGTGTGAGAAATGTTCTGAGAAATGTGTTTGGATACAAATGTTAGATTCCAAAGGGTTGTCAGTAAATATATACATTTAATATTAAGAACATAATCAGTGTCACTGAAAATTAAATCTATTCAATGTAACCCAGTCCAAAGCCACCTAAACAAAAAAACAAAACAATGTATTAAATAAATTATTTTTATTTGTCTGAGAATCTGGCATCCTTGTTAGAACATTGTATAGAAGTTTAGACGTTGACTCAGTCCCTCAGTGTGTGGACACTAGATTTATTTTACCAATAGGAGTTTCTATTCAGTCATGTAGAAGGTAAATACCAGGATTTCCCAGCAGTCAGTTCGAAGTGTAGAAGCCTCTGGTATATAGAGGTGGAATTTTTTTTCCAGAGACCGAGCCAGCCCAGATCCTTCTTCTGAACTTCTAATGCCTACTTTATGCACATGACTAAATACAAGTATGTAGCCTCTCGTCCGTCCGCAGCATTATGTGCTTAATCTGGTACAGTTTTGGAGGGCTTGCTAATGCTTATCAGAAGGCATGAAACAGAGCAGTACTACTGGCCTTCTTTCTGAGTGACAATATTATCACCACCCTCTCTGTAATCTAGTGTTTGTTACTGTCTGAGAAACTGATGTTAAAGAACCCTGAACTCAGCAATGCCCCCTTTGGATGTATTGCGTAAGAACATTGCCAGACATGAGGCACGTATGAGGCTATGTGAAGAGCGATGTTTAGAACGTGACGTTATTGTTTACGTACGTAAAGGGTGCAGAAACGAGGCCGAAGGAAGTCTGAGAATATAGAGTGTTTCAGTCTTCAAGAGGAGGTTCAGTGAAATGTTGCGCTGCTAAATCTTGTCACATGACATGATGTGGAGTGTGTGTGTGTCTGTATCTGTAAGGCTACAGAAAAGAGGTAGAAAACTAAACAGAAGAATTGAACATTTTATCATTGTATTTCCCAGTGGGTATTTTTACATGTTAAATCTTTCATTCTTAAAAAGTCTAATGAATTTATTAATTTTAAGTTGTAAAACTGTGTCTGTAATAAAAGTGCCTTTGCTTTCATTCTTAAAAAGTCTAATGAATTAATTAATTTTGAGTCGTAAAACTGTAATAAGTGCCTTTGGTTGCTCTGATGTGAATAGCACACACTGTAAGGCTTCCCTCCTCAGATCAAGGAAGTGATAATGTAGCTGCAGATCAAACAGCCACAGTAACGTCCACTACACATGTGCATGACGCAAATAGGTCAGCGTGTCAGTGGTCCTCCTCCTGTTCTCCTTGTCTGATTGACCTACTTCTGCCTGCAAGGACCCCGGCTCTCTCTGGTGATGAGACATTCTCCGACCACCAAACAAAGCTCACATTTGAGCCACTTTGTAGCAGCTAGTGCTATTTACTTATTTAACTTATTTGAAGCTCTGAGTCAGTGCTGATTAGGACATAATGAAAAACAGGTAGCCAGTGTTTGGACTAAACCCTCTGGTTGAGTTGCATTGTTTTATTCATAGGTTGATTTTCAGTAGAGACAGGTGTTACCACTGCTTTGAATGTCCTCTTTCAACTCTGTGCACATATTGTACGTATTGTATTTGTAAAAATTTAATTTTTTTAAACATGATAAATTATGTCTGTTGTATTTTAACATGAAAGTAAAATTACTTGCGTGCCTGTGTTTGTACTATAAGTATATTACACAGTTTGGGCAAAACATAATCTCATCATATATGAAATGTTCAAATGTTAATTACACACCAGTTCCCACTGCACTAGTGCTAACAATGTCATTTCATTGGGTTCCAGGTTCCTACTGCAGAGTCTTGAAGACTTGGACTCCAGCCTCCGTAAGCTCAACTCTCGCCTCTTCGTGATCCGTGGCCAACCCACTGATGTTTTTCCCAGACTTTTCAAGGTGGGGTCTTAATCTAGGATCACTATTCGAATCCTTTTTTTGATATGTTTGAGATGTTTCTAATTTTTTTTTTCTATTATTCTCAGGAGTGGAATATAACTCGTCTGTCTTATGAGTACGACTCTGAACCTTTTGGCAAGGAGCGAGATGCTGCCATTAAAAAGTTGGCCTCTGAGGCTGGAGTGGAGGTGATAGTTCGCACCTCCCACACCCTCTATGACTTGGCCAAGTGAGTTCCCATCTGTTCATCTCTAGATATGAATGTGCTTATTTTCTGTTTTTGATACTAAATTCAGACTCTGTGTTTCAGGATCATAGAGTTAAATGGGGGTCAGTCTCCACTCACATACAAGCGCTTCCAGACCCTCATCAGTCGTATGGAGGCGGTGGAGATGCCGACAGAGTCCATCACGGCGGAGGTCATGGAAAAATGCACGACTCCATTGTCCGATGACCACGATGACAAGTTTGGAGTTCCTTCCCTGGAGGAGCTCGGTGAGTGATCGTGGAGTCATTTAGGACTCGCACTACAGTCACGTGTGACGTTAAAAACACTGCTGAGTTTTGTCTTATTATTTTGACATCCTCCGGCAGGTTTTGACACCGAGGGTCTGTCTTCAGCTGTGTGGCCTGGAGGAGAGAGTGAAGCCCTGACCAGACTGGAGAGGCATTTGGAGAGAAAGGTTGGTCACTGTCAGAAGAACTTTCCTGTCCTTTCTGTGTTCACAACAGTGACATAAATATCAGTAGTATTAGTAGTCGATGGACATAGCAAAATAAATAAAATTCATGTCTCAGTGGAATAAAAGGTTTTTGTAGCTTCATCTTCACATCTGCATTTGCTGTTTTTGTTCAATTTGTCAGGCGTGGGTCGCTAACTTTGAGCGTCCCAGAATGAATGCCAACTCTCTGCTGGCCAGTCCCACGGGTCTCAGTCCGTACCTGAGGTTTGGCTGCCTGTCCTGTCGCCTGTTTTACTTCAAACTCACCGATCTCTACAGAAAGGTAGGACTTGAAACAGACGTGAGGAGAGGAAACCTGAGATTTTGTGTCAGATTTTTCATTTTTCTCCACCTCGTTCTTCAGGTGAAGAAGAACAGCTCCCCTCCTCTCTCCCTCTACGGTCAGCTGTTGTGGCGTGAGTTCTTCTACACAGCCGCCACCAACAACCCCTGCTTCGATAAGATGGACAGCAACCCCATCTGTGTTCAGATCCCCTGGGACCGTAACCCTGAAGCCTTGGCTAAGTGGGCAGAGGGTCGGACCGGTTTCCCGTGGATCGACGCCATCATGACCCAGCTGAGGCAGGAAGGTTGGATCCACCACTTGGCCCGGCACGCTGTGGCCTGTTTCCTGACCAGAGGAGACCTTTGGATCAGCTGGGAGGAGGGCATGAAGGTACTGTACCATCAGCACCGTCGAGCAGGAAAGAAACAAGCAAACAAATCCTAACAAGTCTTTTTTTCTTTGTCACGTGGTTCAGGTGTTTGAGGAGCTGTTGCTGGACGCTGACTGGAGCGTGAACGCCGGCAGCTGGATGTGGCTCTCCTGCAGCTCTTTCTTTCAGCAGTTCTTCCACTGCTACTGCCCTGTGGGCTTCGGCCGACGCACGGACCCCAATGGAGACTACATTCGGTGAGTGCTGCTGATTCAACACCGGACTCTTTTTACTGTTATTACCTAAAACTGAAAAGCACAGACGTCTTTTAGTCCTAAACATCACTGGAAGTGCAGAAACTTGTAAATGTAATTAAAAAATAACTTCTCTAAAATATTATTATGAAATACCTAAAGGTTAGCTCAAATACTACAAATATATTGCTACAAAATAAAATATATGTAAATATGTTCCAGAATATTAAACAAAATGTAATCAGAAAAATGTAGAAGTTATGGAAATCAATCTGGAAAAAATATCAAAAATACTGATTAAAAACAAAGAATAGTACTGAAAAAATTGGTGAAATTTGGTGGTGGTCCATTTTTCTATTTTTTTTTTTTGAAAAGTTATATTAGCTAAAAGTGTGTCCTTGTCAAAAAACAAAACAAACAATGTGCTAATGTCTCCATTCAGACGTTACCTGCCTATTCTGCGAGGTTTTCCGGCCAAGTACATCTACGATCCATGGAACGCTCCAGATAATGTTCAGAAAGCCGCAAAGTGTGTGATTGGACTCCATTATCCCAAACCCATGGTTCAACACGCAGAGGCTTCTCGCCTGAACATCGAGAGGATGAAACAGATCTACCAGCAGCTTTCCTGTTACAGAGGCCTGGGTGAGTGCAACACAACAGCCTGTAGTGATCAGTGACACCTAGTGGTGTTACGGAGGTAGACGATGGAGTTGCAGCTTGAGCCACTTCTGGCCAAACACTTTTGTCCTCACCTTCTGCCTCTTTGCCTTGAACAGTCCTCCTCCATTCTAAAGAGGGTCATTTATAATCTATACAGTCATAATATATTGCATAGCATCCCAGCTAGCTCAGTCGGTGGGACGTCTCTAAAGACAGGGTCGTGCATGTGCTCTGGGACACTGGTGGTTAAGCAGGTGAACGTATGTCCAGAAGGTTGCAGGCTCTAATCTATCAGTCACAAGGTGCACTGAGCATGGCACCATAACCACACACTGCTCCTCAGGAGCTCAGCTTGAGTTGCCCTCTGCTCACTAAGATGATGAGTTAAAGGACAAATGTTACTGTGTGCCACGACGATAATTCGTTTTATTTTCACTTTCATTCTTCCTCTGTTCAGTTGATGCCTAAACAGATGTTAAATACCAACTGTTAATGTATTCAGCTTAGATATTGCTGTTTTTCATACTGTCTTTAATTGTTCATTACACTGTAAGGTTGCCTTGGGTGTTCTGAAATAAAAATAAATATAATTATTGATGATATGAATGTAAATTAATTACATAATTATTATTAATCATCCGTAAATACTTCAAATGTGTGGTGGCAGGTAATTCACACAAAATATAGACTTGACTACTGACTGTTAACCCTTTGTGTCTTTTTCAGGTCTTTTGGCCTCAGTTCCCTCCAACACTGGTGGAAACGGTAATGGCACTGACACAACTGAAACGTCCTCGGATGTGATGGCGTACCACGGCGAGGCCAAGCGTGACGCCACAGCTACGACCAGTGAGTCACATGACACAGCATTTGACCCGCAGGCACTAAACCCTTACGTATAAGAGAGTAAACATTTCCACGTATCGTTTTTCAGGTTATCAGATGCCTGGGCAGTCCCAAGCAAATTGGCAGAGCGGCGCCATGATGTACCTGCAGGAGGCGCCACAAAGCAGCACCGTTGCACATCAGCAGGGTGGGTACTCGAAAAAGTCTTTATTTTCTCAGTTAGATCATCAGTTCTCCAGAGGTTTCTGTTATTTTAGCTCTTAAATACTGGTCTTTAGTCGGAGGACTTATCCTTCATCCTCTCATTCCAGGTTACGCCGGTACCAGTAGCAGTAGCAGTACTGGTATGATGTGTTACCCCCAAGGCACGCAGCGGATTGCTGCCCCTGTCATTCAAAAAGGTAAGGACTTGGTTGTTGAGATGTTTCAGTAAGTGTTTAGTGTGTTTGTAGAGTTTAATAATTAGCATTACAGTGAGTAGTAGTTGAAGATAATAATGATAAATAATCTGGACTTTACTGTTGTCCTATCAGCTTCTGATCATCACACCTCCCTCAACAAACGACACATCAATGACTCTGGGAATGGAAAAGGATCCAAAATCCAGAGACAAAGCACTAACTGAAGGTTGGTTTGGAAAATATAATCTATATTATAATAAAAGATAAAACGGCAGATGTAACTATAACTACATCCTTTATATTTATATATATACTTTTTTTTTTAATCCCTCTTTTTTCCCTCCGCAGAAACATGACGTAAACTCAACTGAGTTCAGAAGCTCAGACTGATGTTTGTTTTTGTTTTTTTTGCGTCAAAGTTGCATGATCCCACCTGCAGGTGGAGCAAACCAGTGTTGGGTGAAGCCATCCAGGAGTCAGAGTTTGACTTTGTGATTTTTAAATATGGACTGCAGCACTCAGCTGGTCTGTGAGGTCATGACCCTCCTGTACATAACCAATGGATTTGCTCATTTCTGCTCACATACAAACTTGTACATATTTAATTATTGTATGTGTGATTTTTGTCTTTGTGTAGACCCGCTGCTCCTCCACCTCCCCTCCACTGACCCATGAATATATATTTTTGATATGACGAATCATATTGAATACAAATGTAAAGCATTTTTAACGTCTGACACAGAGGTGACAAATGTCTCATTTCTGGTAACGGTCGTCTGTCGTCACCTCCCAAACATTCTCCCATTCCTAACTGTATCTATGGACAGACCTGTACTGAGTTTGTGATAGCTGCCTCTTTCTGTTCCTCACCTCTGTAGCGGTGACCGGAGATGGTCTTTAAGGAAGGGGAAAAAAAAAGGGTAACAAAGAATAAAGCGTCCTTTTCACTTCATGGTGTCCCCACATGTGTAATAACTTAATAGACTGTACCACAGGGGGAGAGAACTGCTTCATCTGCTTCCTGTTCATTCTCATTGTGCTTGTTTTAATAAAACTGGGTTAAATAAACAGAAGAAAATTGGCCCTGCCTGTTATTGCTGGCACTCGGATACAAACACCATCCTCAGAGACGTTTTTACACCTTCAAACAAATTAATAAAACTGAAATCAGGAACTTAAAAGTAAAATACTTACACCTACAGTATGAGGTATGAGGATGGCTCGGTGTGATACACAGCATTGGTATTGGTTATCCATTTGTCCAATCATCTCGTCCATTATGTTCACAGATTTTGACATTGGCCGAAAGGATTTATAAAATTGTATATGTTGAGTGGTACATTCTAGATCCAGTGTTTAACAAAATGTTTACATACAAAATGTATATTCTTAGGAAAACAATTACAAGATGGTACCATATAAACACAATGTTTGGCAATAGGAAAAAAAACGTTAATTCAGGCTTCAAAAGTTTTTTTTGTTTAACTTTTTCTTAATTATCAGTCAGCAGAGGACCAACACAGAACTCACAGAAATGATCGGATTCTGCACTGTTTTGACTCATTGCATAAAATTGCCAGATGTGTACAAGTGCCAGAACTCACAGAAATGATCGGATTCTGTACTGTTTTGACTCATTGCATAAAATCGCCAGATTACTACAAGTGCAACTTTCCTGGAAGTACAAAAGTTTTTGTTTTTATGGTTTTATCAAAAATGCACAAAGTCCCTTTGGTGTGGTCCAGCTTGTCACTGTTTGTGTCCACTAAATGCAATCGTTTTTCTTTTGACAAGTGGCTACAACAAACATATTGTTTATTTATTGCCTGCCAAAAAGGAACTTCCTAAGAAAAATAACAGTTAATCAGTTTTAAGTTCAGCTTGTTGGGTTATTTTTTTTGTCTTTAATACAACAAACTGCCAACTGGTGATGGAATCAGCACCATATTTAACCATATAAAAAGATTCTGTCATTTATTGGAAGTAAATTCTACAACCTTAGCCTTGAGTGGAAAATCTTCGTTACAATTTGCAGCCTTTGGTTGTGGTGTTTAGATAGTTTTGGCAGTAACACAGTTGGTGTGTGACAATATGTGATTTTTCATTTTGCAGGAAGATGAAGTTTTTAACTTCTGAGCCCTTCATACAATTCACAAACCAACAGTGAACAACTTGTGTGCAAAATACCTTTGAGTTATTAACAATTAGTCTTCAATGACTTTCCTTGAGGCTTCATGTGTAAAGAGCGACCTCTAGTTTCAGAGGTTCAGTTTGGCCCAGTCCGTGTTGGTTCCCAGAATATAGTCCAAGCTGCTTGATCGTACGTCGTACCCGTAGGAGGCTAACTTGTGAATGCGATACAGAACCACCGGTGTGCTGAGCTCCAGGACGTTTGGAGATTCCTTCACCTGCTTCGTGCTGATGCCAAAGTCCATCAAAGCCTGGAAGCGCCCCATCATGGTGGGCAAGGAGTAGAACAAAATGTCTGGGCAGCGAATCACAATGTGCTTGAGTTCAACTTTGGAGCAGTCCAGAGCGCTCTCTATGAACGCCAGCATCAGCCACATTGATTCAGGCTGCAGCTCTGCTACCAGGGCTCTGTGGCTGGAGACCAGGCTGAGGAGCTCCTCGGTGGTGAAGCCCTGCTCCTTTAGAAAACCTACAATGTCCCTCCAGACCTGGGCCGGCTGCAGGAGGATGCACGGGTTCTGGCTGAGCAGCACTTGCAGCCAAAAATGCACATCAACATTGTTCCCACCGAGCTCAAGGTATACCTCCTTGAGTGTTGTAATGACCTCCTGGTTGCTTTCCACCGGTCGACTGAAGATCTGTGGAGTGCTCGTCATCATCTTCCTGATGAGTCCCTTGTTGAGCTGAAGGCTTTGAAGGAAGAGGATGTTGTCTCTCTGATTCCTCTGGTGGATCAGGGTGAAGAAGGAAGCAGGAAACTTCTCCACGATGCTGACCAGTTCATGCTTGCAGCTACACACTGACAACCAGAGGTCTCTCTGGGCAGCCACGTCCTCGGGGTGGCACAGGAAGGCCTCCGGGTGAGTTTCCAGGATGCGGGCGATGACCTCATGGTCTGCGCCCATGTCCCTCAGGAGATCGGCTGTTTCACGCACGTAAGCAGAACCTTCAGACAGAACCCAGGCCTTAAACCTGCGTATCTTATGAATGTCCACAGACAGGTTGCACAGGGAGCTAACAGTGAGCTGGTTCTCAGAGTTCTTGTTGGGGGGAGCCAGTGTGGAGGCAGGGACGGAGAGTAGCAGCCTCATCCTCCTACAGGTGGAGAGGAAAATGGCTGTGGTGACACGAAGCATGGCTGAGAGTGTATCTGCACAAACAACAAAAAAAACTACAATTGGTAACAAATTCCAAAACCATAACATTAGACAATAAAACAGAACAAATAAGAGTTAGCTAAATAAAAACTAAACCTAGACAACAGCAAATAATTTGACAATGCTTACTAAGATTTTAAAAATAAGCTAAAATAAGCTAAAAGTGCAGCCAAGCCTTATGATCAGGGTATCTAAATGTTACACAAAAATAACCTTTAAACAAAGAGAATTCCTGCACAGCTGGTTGGGTTAGCAAAATATAACCAAACATTAACTACAGATGACAAAAACAAAGGCCAGAAATAGTGGACGGCTACTAAAACGTAGCTAGATCGCTGTTAGCTAACGTTAGCTCTGGTGTCTGTGCTCACAGCAACATGTTTCACTCTAAGGTGATAATGTAGACTTAAAGTGACAAGAAAGTTCTTAACAAAGAAACATAGAACATACAAATGCACGCAGAAATATGCAAACAAAATTAAATGCGAAAAGCAGAAAATTAATTTACACAAACAATAAACTGGGATAAACATGAGTACATGTACTCTACATGTACTCTACATGTACAGTACATACATGCGGTACATTGTGTACCTGAACATGTCATCGCCATCATAACAAAAACAACACAAACGCACCCGGAGCAGAGCCTCCGCAACACACAGAGCGACAGGATTCAATATGATGTTTTCGATAATATGTTTTAAATAAATAAATAAAAATCTGCTTTAAGTCATTACCAAGTGCAGAATTGCGGTTGTCTGTGTTGTGATCCACTAAGGTTTCATAATGGTATCTCAGTACAGGGAGGCGGGGTCAACCAGTTTGACTTATATTGACGGCAGAGGGGCGGAGTCCGGCAGCCTGAGTGTCCGGAACAGCCTGAATGTAACCGGCAGCCTGAGTGTCCGGAACAGCCTTAGTGTCCGGAACAGCCTGAATGTACGAAACAGCATGGCGGAAACGTGACGGTTCGTCGCAGTAAAGAGGAGGGAAAAAGCGTCGACCAAAACAGAAGTTGTCCCACCCTGTCAATATGTGGAAGATACAGTTTGAAGCCACTAAAAAAGGCGCAATTAGAAACATACTATTTAAAATTATTCAGTTATCGTTATAACAAGTGAAGGCACCTGCCGCCCGTTCCACAAAACAAACAACTTCCAACTACCATCTCAGTACGACGTCTTAAAGGCAACGCCGTGACTCTGTGATTTAGTAAGAAATAATTTATTTTTTATAATTGTTGTTGCTACTGTTTTTTCTTTCTTATGTATTTTTAGCTGTCCCCCTAGAAGTCGAGTAAGTGGTAGAATTAAAAGGCGCTTTAATTTAAATTAACGTAGAATATAAACCACACTGTTCGCCTGAAATTGAAATGAAATGTCGTCAACTAACCAAAACCAAAATGTTGCTCTAATGTTGCAAAATAGAAAGTTTGTCAGCAATACTTTAAAAATTACCCTTAGATAGCTGCAGCGTAAGCTATTCAAAACTAGCGGTGTATTTTGGAATAGTTCAGAAAAAGCGTTTTTTCATATATTTTTTTTTTCAGAAATGTTTACCACATTCTCAGGTGAATTAAATTGTTTTGTTTGGTGTCAAAGAATGCTAATTATCTTCTTATTTTAAGAGGCTATATTGAAAGTATATTGGGGAAAGTTAAAAGAAAAACAAAGATTACAAGTGACATTTACATATTCATATTTTAAGTTTAGGCAATAGTTGAGTAAAGAACACAACATAAATAATTCATTATTTCAGCTGTACTGCACCATATCTGCCACACGAGGTCACTGTGCTGCTATGTATGTGCGTTTTTAACCGTTGAGCGGATTACCATCTGGTTTTCATGAGTGTTTTCTAAAGAGAGAAATTCAGAAAGCCTCCAAATTGTTTAAACTCCTAATGTCTACAAAAAACCCTTCATGATCCCCGAAAAATACATACATACTTTCCATAAACTCTTTTTGTATTGAATACCAGTTTTTCTGTTTTTTGCAGGAGTCTAAGGTGAATGACTTTTCTTCTTTTCTCTCTTTGTCCATGGAGTCAGTGGTTATTTAAAGTCTCTCTGTGTTTTTTTCCTAGCCTCGCCGGTCCACACAGTTGTCTCTGGCAGCCTTGGTTATACTGGAGCCAGCACCTGCCGCCCTCATGTTGTGAACAGGCGTGTCTCTGAAGATTTCAGTCCAGTCCGGGTGCAGACAGAAGTGAGTACATTCTCTGGCTCCCAGACCAGGTTTGTGGTCCTTTAAGGCCACAATTAGATTTGAGAAACCCAGGGGAGTTATAATAAGACTAAAATACACCCTGCACCCTCAGGGACAATAGTGTTTGCAACCATTAATGTACCCGCAGTACAGTCTGAGTCATTTCATTAGGATTCCCACAGCCACCTGTTCTTCCTTGTCACTTATCTCCTGCTTTTAAAACAGCGTTTGTCCTTTTTCCACTGATGACTCTAAGACATGGGAACACAAAATCTTGCATCGCTATTTAAATATTGTACCATGGGAGCAATTATGCCCTAATCCTCTCAATGCTGAAAGCAGACGCCTCCCATAGCAAGAATGTTTTCATTACATTCCACAATGAAGAGGAGGCTGGAGCGTAGGCCCCGGTGTCTGGGTTTTTGTTGAAGGTCTTGACTCTTGTATTGACTTCTGGCTCTCAAAGTAGTGACAATAAGACTTTTCATATTGTCCAGACAGAGAAAAGCTCAAATAAGTTGTATGCATTCTTGCTAAGACACTGTTATCTCTATAAGCACACACTGAGTGTTCATGTTGTTTTAAGCTTGAGTTGCTTCATGAGACAAAACCTTTTTTCACAAAGTGTGAAAATAATATTGGTACTGACTGCATTAGAGGCAAGATGCGTGAAAGGACAGTGGAATGATTGTGTGTGTATATATATATATATATATATATGACTTTAATAGCAGCGGTTCTATTTGTCATTTGTATCATTTCTTGGTAGTTTTGTACTTGTCTAGATTATACTTTTATTATATGAATTATTATTATCCAGCCCAGGGCTAACAGTATCCTAGAATACCATGAGTATTAGCTGCATTTTGAAGATGTGGCAGCTGTAACTTCCTGACATTAGCTTCCTCACTGGCTCTGACCAAACATCCAGAGTTCACAGTGGACTCTGGTGATGGAACCTCTTAAAGGCCGCAGGCTCTAAAGTACTGACTCCTCAATATTCGGTATGGATTTGTGTCTTACATAAATCACCCTCACATTTAAAAAAAAAAAAAAAAAATTGCAGGCGTTGACACCCCTGATGTATTCCATGGTTGGATCACACAGAGTCACTGTTGTCCGTCTTCTGTCCTGCTGGTTGTCACCACAGTCACAGGCCTTTAATCATATGGATATTTTTTTTCCGGTTTCATGTTGCTTTGAGGAATTGTAAAACACAAGTGTGTGCTTCCATCTGTTGTGAGTCCGAAATAGTTCCTGCGTCTTGTCCTTACAAAGGAAAGAGGAGCCCTGCAGGGTCAGAGCACCGACAGAGGGGGGGTCTCTGAGGGATAAGTGGGTGTGTGTGTGTGTGTGACAGACAAGACTTGCTGAAGGAGAAAATAGACCGTTCCATCTGTCTAACAATCAGCCCTGCTGCTGACCCTCATGCTCTGGAGACTCTGGTCAGCCTCTGGTCACATGGTCCAGACAAACCCTTTAAAAAGCCCCAGACTCCACATCAACTCACCACAGCACCACGAGGCATCATCCGGTTCTGAGGTGCCATCATGTCAGACACAGAAGATATTGTGGAGGAATACGAGCAGGAGGAGGATGAGGAGGAAGAAGTAGAAGCAGAAGAGGAGGAGGAGGAGGAAGAAGTAGAGGAAGAAGAAGAAGAGGAGGAGGAGGAGGAAGAAGTAGAAGCAGAAGAGGAGGAGGAGGAGGAGAACAATGATGATGATGAAGGTGAGAAGAAAGAAGAGGAGCATGAAGAGTCCAGACCGCGACCTAAGACAACATACATGCCAAACATTGCTCCTCCAAAGCTCCCTGATGGTGAGAAGGTGGATTTCGACGACCTTCATCGCAAGAGACTAGAGAAGGATTTCAACGACCTCCAGTCGCTGATCGAGTTTCACTTCTCTAACCGTCAGAAAGAGGAGGAGGAGCTGGTGGCGCTCAGGAACCGCATTGAGCGTCGCCGCGCTGACAGGGCGGAACAGCAGCGCATCCGCACAGAGCAGGATCGAGAGCGTCAGGCACGGGTAGCCGAGGAGAAGGCCAGACGCGAGGAGGAGGCGGCCAAACTGCGTGAGGAGGAAGCCAAGAAGAAGAAGATATTCACCAACAAGTCTTTTGGTGGCTACCTGCAGAAAGTGGACCAGAAGAAGGGCAAGAAGCTGACAGCGAGGGAGGAGAAGAAGAAGGCCTTGTTGGAGCGCAGGAAGCCCCTCAACATCGACCACCTCAACCAGGAGAAGCTGGCGGAGAAGGCCCAGGACCTCTGGCAGTGGCTCCACCAGCTCCACGCCGAGAAGTTTGAGCTGGCCGAGAAGCTCAAGAGGCAGAAGTACGACATCTACGTGCTGCGAAACCGAGTCAGTGACCACCAGAGGTTCTCCAAATCATCCAAGACCTCCCGCAGTGTCAAGGGCAAGTCGGGCTCCTGGAAGTGATCCAGGGATACTGGACCGTGGAGGTGTTTCTGGACTATTGGGCCCCAGGTTAGAGAAGTTCTCCTACATGATGGAGGACTTTTCTGTAAAGTATTCTCATTTTTCCACCCTTCTGGAGAACTGTAAAGAACCACATGACATCGTAGTGTTGTTGTTTTTATCACTGACTTCATCAAATCATGAAAATGAATTCCTGCTCTCGGCATGTTAAAGTGTGAAACATTTATCGCCATGTTTTTTGCCTTAGGTTGTGTTTCTTTCAAAATAAAAAATGTCATTCAAGTATTTTCTTCACACCATCATCCACAACGCACAGAAACTTTAAAAAAATCTATCTCTATCTGTAACTCTTTCAGTTCCACCCTGAAATTTTTACTGACATGTGTTAAATTTTTCAAAAAGTGCAGCAGGTGTTGGACAGCTGTTTGTTTTTTTTCCTTCACCACAGCTAATTTAGTCCCAGAAGCTCTGAGGAGGAGCTGAACACAGAGAGACTGAGTTACAGCACGAACTGACAGCCAGAGCTGCTGTATTTATTCTTCTCATTATAAAACCATATTAGGAAAAACACCTTAAAAGAACAGAAGACCAAAAAACTGACCTCAACACTCTGACATCATCAGCAACTGACTCCGACATCACCTTCAGAGACTGAACACTGAACAGAGAGTAACAGACCAATTGTTTTATTAATCAATTAAAATCAATTTGCAAATCAATTAAATCAATTCAACTGGACTTCCATGTTATATTGGACATCCATATATAACTCTAACAATATTTTGTTGTAAAGTACAAAAAACAATGGTTGAATCAAAATAATTTTCAAGTTTTCAAATTTACTATCAAAAAAGAATATATTCTTTTAGTGTCTTGTAATGAACAAATCCATGAAACAACAGCCTCACAGCCTTTCCCTTCTCATACTGATTTGTACCCATTCATTATCTGACCTTTAAATCAAACCCAAAAAACCCGTATACAACCTCAATGTATTCTGTCTTCGTAGTTAAGATGTAGTGCAATTACCATTAATGGCCATGAGGTGGCAGTAGAAGGTGGCAGTGTTTTGCATCACAGCAACGTTACGTAGTGTATTTCTTGTGTAATACAATAACTTGTTTCAATATTATAATATTTTTTAAGAAGAGTAGTAGATAGAAATGCTAATCTGCAGTTCAGTGACGGATGAACTCATGTTAATTCACAGAGCTGGAATCAGAGCTGATGTG